TTATGCAAAATTCATGCAAATGCTTTTGGTGCGAGTATCTGGAGCAAGCCTTGTAATTAGTGTGTGTGGAGTACTAGAGTTGAAAACAAATATGGATGTTCGCGAAGCGAGGAATTTTTTGTTTTTTTTATGCAAAATTCATGCAAATGCTTTTGGTGCGAGTGTCTGGAGCAAGCCTTGTAGTGTGTGTGGAGTACTAGAGTTGAAAACAAATATGGATGTTCGCGAAGCGAGGATTTTTTTTGTTTTTTTTTTTATGCAAAACTCATGCAAATGCTTTTGGTGCGAGTGTCTGGAGCAAGCCTTGTAGTCTTCCCTGTTCTACGTAAGACTGCTGCATGCTTTTAAATTCTTCTAAATTCTTCTAGATTCGTCGGAATTCTGCAATTTTCTTCCAAAATCTTCCGGTTTCTGCCTGTCTGTCAAGACATGCCTGGTTCCCAACACCATTTTTTTTCATTTGTACACACACACGGTATCCCCCATTTCTTCGTTTTTCTACCTTTTCTACCTTTTTCTACCTTTTTCTACCTTTTTCTACCTTTTTCTACCTTTTTCTACTACCTTTTTCTACCTTTTTCTACCTTTTTCTACCTTTTTCTACCTTTTTCTACCTTTTTCTACCTTTTTCTACCTTTTTCTACCTTTTATTCGGTTGAGGTTTGTTTTTTTTTCTCTTTTTTTCCCCTTTCTACCGGCATGCTTGGGGGAAGGAAATGCTGCCCGATTTTCAGCCCCTCCCCCCCCCCTCCCCTAGGCCATACGTTTAGGGCCTAGGGTTTAGGGCCTTAGGTTTAGGGCCTAGGGTTTGGGGCCTTAGGTTTAGGGCCTAGGGTTTGGGGCCTTAGGTTTAGTGCCTAGGGTTTAGGGCCTTGCGTTTAGGGCCTTGGGTTTAGGGCCTAGGGTTTAGGGCCTAGGGTTTGGGGCCTTAGGTTTAGGGCCTAGGGTTTAGGGCCTTAGGTTTAGGGCCTAGGGTTTGGGGCCTTAGGTTTAGGGCCTAGGGTTTGGGGCCTTAGGTTTAGTGCCTAGGGTTTAGGGCCTTACGTTTAGGGCCTAGGGTTTAGGGCCTAGGGTTTAGGGCCTAGGGTTTGGGGCCTTAGGTTGAGGGCCTAGGGTTTGGGGCCTTAGGTTTAGGGCCTTTTAGGGCCTTACGTTTAGGGCCTAGGGTTTAGGGCCTTAGGTTTAGGGCCTAGGGTTTAGATGTATGTATATACGTGTGTATGTATGTATGTTTGTATGTATGCATGTATATGTATGTATGTATGTATGTATGTACATGTGTGTGTGGGTGTGCAGGTGTGTATGTTCGTATGTGTAGGTGTTTATGTGTGTGTGTGTGTCTGTGTGTGTATGCATGTGCTTATGTATGTATGCATGTATGGATGTATCTGCCTATGTATGTATGTATATATGTATGTATGTACCTATGTATGTACTCATTTACACACACATACAAATGTATACATAATTGCGCATACGTATATACATGCATGTGTATATATTTATAGGTGCGTATATATAGATATATATGAAGATACACAAACATGTCTGTATATATATATATATGTATACATGTCTGTATCTATATATATTGTTTGTGTATGTATATACATACACATGTATGTATATACGTGTGTGTCTACCTATATGTAATATCTGTAAACAGATATAAATATATGAAGAATCGCCATTAAGGTCATCACCAACCTCGCCATAATTATTAAAACCATCATCATGCTCGTCATAATTATCAAACCACCATCATCGTCTTCATAGCCCTAGTCTTCTTCGTAGAACCCAGGTTTTATAATCATCAACATCATCATCACATATCATCATACACATCGCCAACGACATATTCACAATCGTCATCATAATCAGCATCGGCCATCATCAGTCATCGTTGTTATCATCCACATAGAACGTCGTTATAGTCATCATCATAAACATCGAATCATCAATGAGATAGAAGCCAAGAAGCTGGAATAATTACCAGTACTTTTGCTCAGGGCTCAAGGCTCCTTGTTTTTACTGTTACACATCCCGGCGTTCACGGCTTTGAAACATGCGACAATAATCAACAACATGTTGTTACGAAACAGAGTCTACTTAATGTATTTCCGAACAGGGTGAGAATTGAAATTTCCTATAGGATTTGTGCTTGGAATCCAAGAAAAACAAGGGTGCGAATTGTAATTTCCCATAGGATATGTATTTCCGAACAGGGTGCGAATTGTAATTTCCCATAGGATTTGTGCTTGGAATCCAAGAAAAACAAGGGTGCGAATTGTAATTTCCCATAGGATATGTATTTCCGAACAGGGTGCGAATTGTCATTTCCCATAGGATTTGTGCTTGGAATCCAAGAAAAACAAGGCTGCGAATTGTAATTTCCCATAGGATATGTATTTCCGAACAGGGTGCGAATTGTAATTTCCCATAGGATTTGTGCTTGGAATCCAAGAAAAACAAGGGTGCGAATTGTAATTTCCCATAGGATATGTATTTCCGAACAGGGTGCGAATTGTAATTTCCCATAGGATTTGTGCTTGGAATCCAAGAAAAACAAGGGTGCGAATTGTAATTTCCCATAGGATATGTATTTCCGAACAGGGTGCGAATTGTCATTTCCCATAGGATTTGTGCTTGGAGTCCAAGAAAAACAAGGCTGCGAATTGTAATTTCCCATAGGATATGTATTTCCGAACAGGGTGCGAATTGTAATTTCCCATAGGATTTGTGCTTGGAATCCAAGAAAAACAAGGGTGCGAAGTGTAATTTCCCATAGGATATGTATTTCCGAACAGGGTGCGAATTGTAATTTCCCATAGGATTTGTGCTTGGAATCCAAGAAAAAGAAGGGTGCGAATTGTAATTTCCCATAGGATGCTGTACCTGGATGCCAAGAAACAGAGTCTACTTAATGTATTTCCGAACAGGGTGCGAATTGTAATTTCCCATAGGATTTGTACTTGGAATCCAAGAAACACAAGCGCTAATCAGGGTGCGAGCGGGTGCGAATTGTAATTTCCCATAGGATATGTATTTCCGAACAGGGTGCGAATTGTAATTTCCCATAGGATTTGTGCTTGGAATCCAAGAAAAACAAGGGTGCGAATTGTAATTTCCCATAGGATGCTCTACCTGGATGCCAAGAAACAGAGTCTACTTAATGTATTTCCGAACAGGGTGCGAATTGTAATTTCCCATAGGATTTGTGCTTGGAATCCAAGAAAAACAAGGGTGCGAATTGTAATTTCCCATAGGATGCTGTACCTGGATGCCAAGAAACAGAGTCTACTTAATGTATTTCCGAACAGGGTGCGAATTGTAATTTCCCATAGGATTTGTGCTTGGAATCCAAGAAAAACACGGGTGCGAATTGTAATTTCTATAGGATATGTATTTCCGAACAGGGTGCGAATTGTAATTTCCCATAGGATTTGTGCTTGGAATCCAAGTAAAACAAGGGTGCGAATTGTAATTTCCCATAGGATATGTATTTCCGAACAGGGTGCGAATTGTAATTTCCCATAGGATTTGTGCTTGGAATCCAAGAAAAACAACGGTGCGAATTGTAATTTCCTATAGGATATGTATTTCCGAACAGGGTGCGAGCTGGCGGTTTCAGCTGGGGGAAACAAGCAGAAGTCTAGAAAAGTGTTTGAATTCTCCGCAGATACAACGAAGAATTTCGAAGAATTTCGAAGATTTACGAAGATCTAAGAGGAATGGTCTAGAAAAGTGTTTGAAGTTCTCCGCAGATACAACGAATAATTTGGAATAATTTGGAATAATTTCGAATAGTTTCGAATAATTTCGAAGATTTACGAAGATCTAAGAATAATGGTGAAGAACCTGGAAGAATGAAGAATATTATGGAAGTTTACCGAAGAAAACGTAATATTTCCGAATATTTAAGCAGAAATTCAAACATTTCTGAATATTGTTGAATAGGGTTAAACACACTGAGAAGTACCCTTCTGAGAAGCCTCCCTATCCTCACAGAAGAAAGTAGTTCCTTTGTGGGGTTATTTTATAGGACTCTATACATGAACCCCAAAAAGGAGCTACTTTGGGGCCTTTGCGTACAATTACAAGAGACAAGATGAACAAACAGACCGGGAACAGGAGTGGTCAAAGTACGGCCAGTGGGAGTAGTCTTAGTTGTCACTTAACTTAACTGCACCGGTGGCAACACTCGCAATAACAAGAGCCTACAACAGCTACAGCTGTGATATTCGCTTAAACTTGCTTGTGCCGCTGGACCTGCCGTTTGGATCTAGGCGCTCTATTGCGCATTACAACATGCTGTGGGCTGCTGTCCAGCCGATTTTTCCTACAGCTAACGGCAGAGTGAAGAAAGCGTTCCACACTTCCGGCGCCCAGAAGGGCAAAGTACCATTTACGACTCTGGCTACACTTGTGGGTATGATTGCTTTCCCATGCTGCCGATGATAATGACCATGATGGAGGCACCGTATAAGCACCGATACTGCTGGTGTGACTAGAGCCCCCTCGAACCTTTGCCCTGACAGTCTCCAACTCTCCAACGCCGCATCAGTTTGCACAAATTTGAATCTGCTGGGGCGTATCTGAAACTGTCCACAAAGGGTCTCGTCTCTTCGCGGGAGCTTCCGAAAAGTCGGAGGAGGGGGGGGGGTACCTAATTTTGGGATCCTTACAATAAGGATCCTACTATTTAAGGGATTATGTTAGGGTCCCCCATTTTGCGGAAAGTCCCATGCAACAACTCTAACCCTAGAGCCGCAAGACCTGCCAAAGACCGAAGGTTCCTAAATCGCAACGACGTAAAGCTGAAGATACGTAGCACCCGATACTGGCAGTCTGTCGACAGCTTTAACCGGCGACACAACAGCAATTGCCCAATGCTCTCCAACCCTTAAGATTTTTAAGCTCCTCCAGTTCTCTTAGCTGGGCTTGACGGCTTCTTGAAAGGGCTCAAACCCTGTGAAGAGACCCTTTGTCTTGGTACGCACCTAGTTCAGGAGAAGCTTCTTCGCCTCACCTGGCAGGAGGCTCGACGGGACTAAACCGTCAGGGTGTGGCTCTTGTGGGGTTTGAAGTCCTATATGAGGGTTAGGGTTTAGGGGTTTAGGGGTTTAGGGGTGTAGGGTTAGTTATATAGGGTTTAGGCAACCCTATATGGTATTAAACTTAGGTATGGTTCAACTGCAAGGTATCCATCTGGGAGGTCGCACCTGAGGATGGTAGCGGAACAGTGCTTTGCCGGCATTTAACGGCAACAAGACGCCCAAAGATGCGTAATATAGAGGCCGTCATACTTTGAATTGGGCTTTGGGGGTAATTATGACATAATCACAAGAAGGAACCCCAAAATGAGTATATTGGCAATTCTTTGGGCCCCTATGTTAGAGCCGATCGTTGTTGAATCCCAAGTCCATATCCGAAGTTGTTGTTCGGGAAGATGAGTGTGGAAAGTAGCCCCCTACCATAGGCGTCCATAGACCCCTATACAGACCCCCATGCTTTTCCTATGAACCCCTATGCGCCCGACCCCTCCCGCGGCCACAAACCACTACAGATAGACCCTATTGAATTTCCGATAGGCCCCCACTGATAGACCCCTACCGGAATTCGTACAGACCCCTATAGATCGGCCCTATCTCTACTTAGGCTCGCCCCTATGCAGCATAGGCCCCTATCGATTTTCCATAGCCCCCCATCCCGATCGCGATAGGGCCTATCTCTCAAGCAATAGGCCCCTATGCCTTTCCTTGTCCTGTTTGAAACACTTTTGACTTGTGCAGTAGCCACGACCTACTAGCTTTCGTGCACGGCTTTCTCGCAGCTAGGAGCCTCCATCTCAATCTCATGCAGCCACTGGAGTAGCAGAGCATGCGGGAATGTGAAGGAAGTAGGGTTTGCCGAAGCAGGGTTCAGAACCCTGATACCCAAACCCTTGAACGGTTCTTCCACAAACCCTACTTCTTTGCCCTGTCCAAGCGCGGAACAAAACCTTCGAACGATTTGACATATGACCCTTGAACGGTTCTTCCACAAACCCTACTTCTTTGCCCTGTCCAAGCGCGGAACAAAACCTTCGAATGATTTGACATATGACCTCGTTGCGCAGCTGTCTGTGAGTGCGCATGGACACTATCGCTCGCTACATTCGCATGTTTTGCGAATGATATCGGCTCATCATATATTAAACACGGCCCCTAAATGCGGCCCCTCATGTGGCGATTCCGGTTCGCCATTTAGCTTACACACGCCGCCTCCTTACTTGGTGATTCCGGTTCATCATATCTCTTGACCATGCCCCTTCATTTGGCGATAACGGCTCATCATATATCTTAAACATGCCCCGTCGTTTGGCGATAACAGGTCGTCGTATATTTTAAACACGCCCCCTCACTGGATGCCGGTTCATCATCTTTCTTAAACATGCCCCCACATTTGGCGACAGCGGTCCACCACATACCTGAAACACGCCCCGTCATGTGGCGATTCCGGTTTACCATATATCTTAAGCACCCCTCATTTGGCGATGCCGGCTCTTCCTATATCACAAAAAGTGGCAGACCGACTGACCGACTGCCCGATCGACTGTCTGCATGGCGCTCGGTGCATGGATCAACCAACCGACCGACTGAGTGACAGACCGGCGTGCTCGTGTAGCGACAGACGGACCGACTGCAGAACGAGCCGTTCCTGTGAGCTTCGCTGTGCAGTTGTTTGCGCGTATGCATTTGATACATTGCTTCCTGCACTCGCTCCCTTATAACAGGAGGAGCGGGTGTATAGACCCCTATCGCGAAACGATAGGGGTCTATGCGCCTTATAGGGGTCTATCCCCCAGCCATAGACCCCTATGTATAGACCCCTATCCCACGTGTGACACACCCCTGGCCGTAGGTACCTATCCGATTCCCCATAGACCCCTATCGATAAGGGTCTCTGACCTAGTGGGTAGGCCGCTGGGAATAGGGGTCTATGCCTTTTCCGACAGACCCTATGCGATAGGGGCCTATGCCTTTTCCGATAGGCGGCTACTTTCCAGACTCTTACTCTTGTTCGGAATGCCACCAGATCCACAAAACCCAGGTTCGGGGTTTAGGGCGTAGGGTTTACAGGGTTTAGGATTTGGGAGTTTCCGAAAATAGGGGACCCTAATATGGTACCCTAAATATAGTGGGATCTATACTATAAGGATCCCAATATATGGTACCCCTAAATTTCGGAAACTCCCATTCTGGGTATAGGTTCGGGGCTCAAGGCTCAACTATGAATGTCCAGGAAGATATAATTCTGCTTCTGACATGGGAGTTTTCAAAAAACGAGGGGTACCTTATTTTGGGGTCCTTATAGTAAGGATCCTACTATTTAAGGTATAGTATTACTATACTGAACTTAGAGCCCTAGCAGAAATTACAATTTTAGCTGTTTCTCAGGGATTATAATAACCAAACATTAAAAAAATTATTTCTAAGTACCCCTAAGATTAGGGTCCCCTATTTTCGGAAACTCCCACATGCTTCTCGACCTTGGAGCCTCGCAATCAGATACCAGGGGCTTCGACCCTGCAACCAAAGCTTCTGAAACCAAAACCTTAGGGTTTAGGGTTTAAGGTTTAGGGTTTAGGGTTTAAGGTTTAGGGTTTAGGGTTTTAAGGTTTAGGGTTTAGGGTTTAAGGTTTAGGGTTTAAGGTTTAAGGTGTAGGATTTAGGGTTTAAGGTTTAGGGTTTAGGGTTTAAGGTTTAGGGTTTAGGGTATGGCTGTAGTATGCCGCCCTGGTTATCCACTTCCGCCACGATCATGCCTGCTATAAAGTGCTCAACACTGCTTGCAAGCTAAACCACCGTCCGTGAGCACAGGCAGCACCGACCTGCTTCCTTGACGAAGGCCTCCATCATTGGGAAAGCTGAGAAGTCGTGGTGCTCGTCCAAAATCTCTGCCTTCGGAGTGCAGCGCTTTTGCTCTAACGCGGGGACCCTAATATAGTACCCTAAATAGTGGGATCATTGTTATAATAAGGTAACCCAAATTTTCGGAAACGCCCGCCTTAGGGGTTTGGGTGTTGGACAGGCCTTCTTGTGTTGCATTTAGGGGCCTTAATAGTTAAACTAGGGTTGGGGGCCTTTATAATCAGGAACCCCGAAAATAGTATTGGTACTGATTTAGGCACCCAAAATATCAGCCTTTTCGGAGCCTCTTCCAACCCGAACCTACCGCAGACGCCCTCTCCAAAGTCCAAACCGCAGTCTGGATCCCATGCTTACGGTTTTATAGTATCCTTGGAGGATCACGGGACTTTAGTAACTAAGGTTATATGCACCTTAATTGGGTTATAAGTAGCTGTAACTACAAGTATAGATACCTCACCCTTTTCTAAATACCCTCAAACCCAAAGCCAAGAAACCTAACCTGCATTGAGGCGGGTTGCTGACTCAGGGCTTAGATTGTTTTCTTTTATCCTAGTAGGCTCGCAGGGATACTCTGGACACTCTCTAGACTCTCGAACCCAGCAGGTCCAGGACTAACAGGGCCTCAGCAATTCGGACAGTGTTTTGGTGTTTGGGTGTATATTGTAGTACGATTATACGTATATCTATCTATGTGTACATATATATATATATATACTGCATATATATATATATATATACTGCATATATATATATATATATACTGCATATATATATATACATATATACACACATAAGCGTGGATGCTATTACCCACTATTCCGACAGCGGCAGTGCTCCAGCCAATGGGCTTCCACCACCACATTCTCAAGCCCAGAAGTTCTGAGTGGGAAGCTCCGAAATCCTGGAACTCTGAACCCGAAATCCCTGAAACCCTACAGCACCCTTTAAGGGAACCCTATTGTAGAACCTCATGGTGCCCTTATAGTGCCCTTAAAAGGAACCCTAAGCCCTAAACCCTAAACTCTGAAGCCCTAAACCCCGAATCTAGTTCATGGTTGGGATAGGATTAAACATTTAAATTCTTATTCCTTATTGGGTTTAAGTACCCATAAACATGTAAAATGTTGCCCAACTATGACAAAGGAATGTTGCGGAGATGCCTGCTGCAATGCAACAGACGCTGCCAGGGCGAGCTTTGCCGCCTCAGCTTCCGCTCGGAACTTCTTGCAATTTCAAAATCGTCCACAGTAGCACACAGTTGCATAATCATACACACACACACATAAACACATGTATATGTGTGTGTGGACACACACGCAGAGCGCCGGTAATCACAGAAGAGGGACGGAGAGTGAAGACAAACATGACCCACTGCCGGGAAGGCAAGGCTCGACGACGTGATGGACACCGGTCTCTGCGACTGTGCAGTCGCTACCGGCTAGCAGTATTGTGGCAAAGTGTGACGGACCGTTCAGGACCAACTGACACTGATGGCTGGAGGCTCCACGCTCCCCTTGTCAAGCCCTGTCGCAAGTGTTGTCCGATAGCAGAATGCTTCGATGTCTACAGCAGTTTAATCCGAATGAAGGCAATAAAACATCCCACCGTCTCTGGAAGCACTGTGCTGCTGTGATGGAGCTTGTCCTGCATGAATGCATTCTGCGATGTGAAGATAGCAGTCTTGGCATGTGCATGCACACTTCCACACCAACGGTATGTAGCGCTGTATGCATATTTGAACCAGGGGCTATGAAGGAATCTGCCTGCGTACGAACGGATGGATTTGAACGCCTACCCACCTAGCTACCTAGCCACCTGGAGCCAACCACGCTCAATGATGCACTCTTCTCTGGGATCCGTCTGGAACCTTGATTCCGGACAAGACTTGAGGGCGTTGGTGCTCCAATTAAGTCGTCTCTGAACCTCAACCCTCAAACGCCAGACTGAATGACCACGGTCTAATGGAGTCAGAGATGCAAGCCACCTTTGGCGACCTCGGCGCGCGAGGTTGTAAGGTAGTGTAGGGTGTAGAGCTGAGGACTTCATGACATAATTAAGGCGCATGTCCCAGAACACCCTTAGCGAAGACTGCAGAGGCTCAGCACTAGAGCCGGTGTATTCCAGGCCGGCGGCCTTTCATGCCGACGCCAACCGCCCAAAGCGATCGCGTCGGTGAGATCGCCACGGTCATGCACTCCTGGCAAACGGTACAGGTAATAGATTAAGTTACCGAAAGGCTTAGGCAGCAGGTGGGGCAGATCTTGGTCTGATTCGAGCGTGGGAGGGTTCTTCCTCAGAGATCAGGTCGGCGGAGGCACTGTCCAGCCTGAAGTACAGGAACATCCACCATACATGTATATCGGCTGAGGGGATCCAGGGACGTAGAAGCCCCAGATCACTGCAAGCCATACTTAAAGGATCATGGGACTTAGTAACTACAGTTATTATTAGGGTAACTATACTTATAACTACTTATAACCCCAATAAGGTACTTATAACCTTACTTGCTAAGTCCCATGATCCTCCAAGTACTTCATGGAGCTCACACACAACCCGATGATCGAAACAGCCCTGAACCCTGAACCGAAACACCCATCCTGAAGCCCACGGGGTGCATCAGCCCTTCACAGACTTAAGCGCAAAAGGCCACAAAACGCGACTCCCATGTTCAGGGTGTAGGCTTTCGGACTTCGGGTGTTGGGCGACATGGGCCGCAAGACCATACTTTAATACTCAAGCTAGGCTCTAACCCTTTGCATGTCAATGCCTCTGGGATGAAAGCTTAACCATTTTCTGACTATGGTCTTGGGGATGGGAGTACTAGTACTAATTACTACTACTACTACTACTACTACTACTACTACTACTACTACTACTACTACTACTACTCCTACTCCTCCTGCTTCAGGCATGATTCAACCCGAGCCGGGCTCTGACATTGTGGTGTGGTCTTCGGGTCGCCCCAAAATGCGAGCCCTTATTGCAGCAGCAATAGTAACAATGGCTAGTCATGACAAGAATGACAAGGATGTTGCAACCACAGTCCCGCTGTTATGACTGTTGCATTAATATTAGTTTTGTTGACTTTATTACTCTTCTTACTATCTTCATGATTACTAGTATCATGGTATTATTTTTATTATTATTAGTAGTGGTAGTAGTAGTAGTAGTAGTAGTAGTAGTAGTAGTAGTAGTAGTAGTAGTAGTAGTAGTAGTAATGCAATAATGAAGTAGTAGCTATTATTGCTATTGTGTTTACTGTTGTTACTGTTACTGTAAATTGTGTTTTTGTCATTATTATGATTGTTATTGATACTAATATTATGGCTACTGTCTGTCACTATTCTCATACTGGCTGTTATTATGATAGTTATCATTCTTACAAGTATTAGTATTACCATTACCGATACTAGCATTCTTGTTGCTATTGTCGTTGTTACTGATATTGTCATTGTTATCGTTAGAGACTTGTGGCTGGTAACCAAAAACTGATCTTTCGATGCGGAAGAACGTTGTTGTCAAAAGTCGCCATTGTTACTACGCTCATTGCGATTACTCTCGCTGACTATTCTGATTGGTCCTACGGCCTACATTGTGCTTATGTGATGGTGGTGCTGATGCCTGCGATTCTGTTTATGATTCTGATTCTGATGATGACTGCTAGCACTGTGACGATGGCCAGAGAAACCCTAAACCCTGAACCCCCTTTGGTCTCCGGGGCCTCCGTCTGCGTTCTCCGCTTCAGCGCGGCGCCAACGGCAGGTAGATTCTTCCAATCCTCGGGTACTGCCGGTTTGGGGTGTAGGGCATAGAGACGGGGCTTGGGACTTGGGGTATGCATTGATTCGGGTATAATGCTTAGGAGCATGTTTTGGGTAGATTCTTCCCATCCTCGAGATTTGGAAAGTCCTGTCTAGTTAAGTCTACTTCATTCGTGTTGCTTTGGGATACTTGTAGTAGTCTTTGCATGCGTAGCGTTTCCACACTGCTTGCCCGAGTAGGTATCCTTAGTTTGAGTGTTTGTCTTATTTCAGCTGAACCGGCTGATCCGATTGATCCCGAGCCTCAGAAAGTGATAGGATCAGCCATCACATTGATTCACCTACATACACTTCTAAGGGCTGAAGGAGGGGGCGTCTTGAGGCCAGGTGCAAGTTTGGATTCCGCACTTACATCAGAGTTTTGGGGTATATCATGCTGTATTTGATGATAGATAAAAAACCCCCAAACGCTATTGTAACTATTAAGGTCCCCACATTACCCGTTTTCGAGAGGTACACAAACATGGACGTACTTTCAGCGGGGCGAGCGGCTGCATCGTCCACAAGCTGAAGCTCCTTCACCTGCCATGCTTAGGGATCGGGGTCGTAGGGGGTTTAGGAGCTTAGGGGTTACAGGGTCTGGGGGTTTAGGGGGTTTAGGGTTTGGGGGGTTAGGGTTTATAGGGTTTTGGGGGTTCAAGGTTTTCGGTTTAAGGGCTTCGCGGTTTAGGGTTTATAGGGGTGCTTCGGTTCAAGGCGATAAGGTATGGACTACACTGACCCGCTGCACGAGAAACTTACTACTGCAAAGTCGCAACAACGCACTGATTATCCCTGCTGCGACTGCTTTAGATTCCTAGATACTATGTATGCTGGCTACCAAAGTGATAGGTATAGCCGGAAGTAATACTACGGTTGATGATATACGTCCTGCATTCTCTTAAGGACCCTAAACTATGGGAATTATGATATATTTCCCTATTATGGGTAATGCAGGGCTTGTATCATCAACCGTAGCACGACCTCATTCAATCGCGCCATGGCAAACTGCCAAGAGCGGGGATCCACACACACCTAAATAAGTACCTATACCATTTTGGGGGGGGTTCCGTACTATAAATATAGTATGATGGGCCCCAAAGCCCTATTCTAATTATTAAGGCACACTATCGCTGTTCCTTGTCTTTCTGCTATTCCGTTCCTATCATCCAAACGGCACTATCGATATCGCAGTGCTTACAAGCGCAGCCAGCACAGAACTACCATCCTTGCGACCTGAGTATTGTATTACCCTGGCAGAGTACTATATTCTATGCCAGAGAATAGAACAGGGTACTGCATCGAAACATACTTTAAGATTCTTCATATACCACTCATACCACTATACTACTGTATACTATGCGTTACTTTACCATACTAATACTGCACCATACTGTGCGATACGGGGGCACTTCTTTTCTAAGTGCAAGGCCGCCAGATAGCCGAGGCCAAGGAGGTAGTGTAAAAGCTGTATTTCACGTTCTAGACCCAAGAGTAACCTAGGAAGAAAAAGGGTGCCCTTTTTGGTTTAAAGGGTGATATAAGGGAACCTAAACCCTGAAAAAGGGAATACGGGCCTACTCTGGGTCCTAGCGTTTTCTTCGTGTTTAGAATAGCCACAGGTTGAAAAGCTCTGTTTAGAGGATTAGTTAGAAATCCGCATGGTTGAATATACTATACTGTGCTAGACTACAACAGTTGTGTTCGCAGTTGCTTTCAAAAGGTCTGCCTCGTCGGCTAGGATGTTCGACCTCGGTAACATCGGGCATCTGAAGAGGTTTAGGGTCTCGGGGTGCTGAGGTTTGGGAATTTGGTCCAGGGTCTCAGCCAGAGATCCCAATACCCCCTAATTAAGGAACATACCTTAAATTACAGGCAATTAAGGGGTATTGGGTTCTCTGGGTTTTTGGTGTAGCAGTTGCCGAGTGTTAGGAAGCCCCGAGCCTATAGGCTAGGGGTCTTGCCTAGGGCCTATAGGCTAGCCTGCGCGCAGGTCTAGAGGAGGCTTTCAAAAAAGACGAGGGGCTAGGGGTAGGTCTAGAGACAGGCCTACGGCTAGGCTGGGGGCAGGCCCGGGCCGGGTTTTTTCCACTTTGCCAGGCTGGGGCCAGGGTAGAGTAGGTGAGCACTTCCAGTAAGGCGCCGACGAAGCTGTGGTGCGAGCGAGCACGGAAATGTCGTCGTGCCGCCCGTGCGTAGGAGGATGGCAAGAGAGACAAAAGAAGTCAGCGGAGGTTCCTGCTTCTCGCCGAGTTGGTGTCGTCGCGCGCCCACCAGCTGTCGTAACGCCAGTCCTCGTTCCAGGTCGAGGAGCCTGGGCAAGAAACGCCAAGGAATTAAATTTGCCTTCCCACTCACGTGGAGAACGGACACCAGTAAGCCCAACCCGAGGCAGGCACGCCACTCCCACCAGCCTGAAAGCGTCAGTGAGAAAGAAGGCTTTGCGCGTGAGCGGAAGCCCATGGGGAGCACGTCGAACATAACCAGCAACCCCAGCCCAGGCGGGCCGCGCACCGGATCGCGTGATGGCGCTGCACTTGGCGAAGTTCGGCTGCCAGCTGATCAGCAGCATACTGCAGCAAGCCCGCAAGCTTCCAGTTGAAGGAGTCGAACCAGCGGAATTTCTGCAGCCCGGCCGGCGTGAACCGCAGTTCCATGTTGGGGAGGCCATGCACGAAGCCGTAGCACTGTTTCATCCTCTCCACAGCGCCGAGAACATTCGAGGGAGGAGGTCACGGCGGAAGCCCGCTTCGTCCACCAAGGGCTGGCCTTGCGCGTTCAACACCTGGTGGCAAGATACGGGCTTTCCACAGGAGCCGTGAAGAAGAGGTAGCGCTCCAGCGTCGCCAGCGAAGCCGCCAGTACCAAACCCTCATTCATGGTGTTCTATGGTTCAGAACTCTCAAGAAAGGGCCCAACCTAAACCCCAAACCCTCATTTATGCTGCTTTATGCTTCAGAACTCTCAAGGAAGGCCCCAAGCTAAACCCCAAACCCTCATTCATGGTGCTTTATGCTTCAGAACTCTCAAGGAAGGGCTCAAGCTCGAGGCTCCCAGAGATCCCTAAACCCCTTCATTAAGGAATATAGGGTTTAGGGTTTAGGGTTTAGGGTTTACCTTAAATTATAGGAGGCTTCATATTATGATTTAAGGCATCTCCCTTAATCAAGGGGTATTGGGATCTCTGGGTACATAGGGTTCCCAGGGTTCCTTTAAAGGGGTCTATAGGGGTTACTATGAGGGATCATATAAGGATACTAGAATTTAGGAGCCCAAAATAAGTACCAGGGCCCGACCTGCGAGAACCGAGCCGGAACCGAGGCCGCAACAGGATCTGATCTGCTTGATTGGACAATGAATTCGCCCTGGTTCCAAGGGGGAGGTCCAGGTTCGGCCACATTTATACTATAAATACAAACATACATATATATACACACATGTATATATATATATATATATATACCAGTTCACTATATAATAGACTATATATTATTAGCAAAAAGAGCAGCTGAAGAGTCAGAGTAGGCTCGGTGCTCTGCAGGCTCAAACGCATGAAACAAAGCCTTTACCATCTGCGATCGGTTTAGGAGCTCAGGGAGTCGGTTGCAGTAAGGATTTCCCATCTACATATGTATATTTTTGTATATGTACATATGTATATATCTATATATATATATATATATATATATGCATATGTGTGTATATATATATATTATGTATATTATGTAAATTATGTATATTATGCATATTATGTATATAAAGGCCTGAGTCACATAAGCTGAACTACACACGTGCTCAATAATCGCTCTGAGGCCCGAACATGGGATTCTTCAGGATCGCAGCGTCCCTATTTCGGGTATCTTGCCGGGGCGGGAGTAAACCTCAAGACCCAAATCGTCAGACCTTTGACCATTGTGTCTCTGAAAATTAGGGTTCCCTGACACCGCTTCTCCGGGAGGAGGGCTCTTCACCCTAAACCCTAAACCCCAAAGCCCTTGAAAGCGCGAACCCTCAGTACCCTGAATCCTAAAAGCACCCTGAACCCCGAACGAAACCGTAGTAAACCCCCCAACATACCCCAGCAAACCATTAAAGAACCGTAATCAACCACCCAAAATACCCTAAACCCTTAAGTGCCAACAAACCCTTAAGGTGCCAACAACCCACCTCCTTGAGTTGGCTGTGGTTGGCTGCAACCACAAGGCCAAGCCCTCCGAGGTTTTACAAGGGTGTTTAGGGTTTATAGGGTTTAGGGTTTAAAGTTAGCGGTTTATAGCGCTTTTTAAAGGTTTAGGGCTTTAGGGGTTTAGGGATTCAGGGCTTAAAAGTTTATGGAGGTTTATCGGGGTCTGTGGGTGTAGGTGTCCGGGGGTTCAGGGCTTAGAGGTTTATAGGGGGTTAGAGCTTATAAGTGTTGGTGAGCTTGTAGTCTTGCTGTATAGGGATCTGGCCTTTCAGGCTGTACGTACAAGCTTCGGGCGTTTGCCGGTTTCGGTTTGTGCATTGCAGAGCTTTGCATTTCGGTTTCAGGCCGACAAATTAAACTTCTAGAGCTAACGAATATGAAGCTCTCCATGTTTCGCCAGCCTCTCTTGAATCATTTTGAGCCGTCCTCCTTGCCTACACGAATGTTGGTACGTTGCGAACGAGTGGTCCCATCACTGGTATCATCGTTGCTGCTGCTAGTGTTGCGCATACCATTTTACAACGACCGCTACGACGACTTAGGCTACAGCGCCCACGACCACCAGAGCTCAACTGGCGCCGCGGCTTTCTGTGCCATAAACTCGGTGCTTCGGCAGCAGCGGGATACGGCGTGTCGAAACACAAGGCACGAATAGACCGGCCACTGGCCCTGGCAAAACCCCCAGGTTGACTACGGTTGATGATATAAATCCTGCAGTACCTTATAAGGACCCTACACTATGGGAACTATGGTACATTCCTTATTATGGGTAATGCAGGATTTATATCACTAACGAGTCCCTAAGGCTGTAAGCTTCAATTTCGGGACTTCGGGTCGCCAAAACCGATATCCTCACCCCCACAAATAGGCGGCCGCCCGCCCCCGGAATGCGGAAACCGTAGCCTGGATTGCAGAAGTGAGCAGTAAAGCAAGCCCTGCCAGCCGAAGGGAAGCTTTGCAAACAGTACGGACTTCTACTCCCACGACGACACGGCTGACCAACAGTCCCCCTACGAGATCTTGAGTATGCTCATGGTGTGGGCCGGGTTAGAAACACTCTAGTCTACTTTCTACCTTCAGATTAGGGATCAGAGTTCAGGGTCTAGGGCTTCGTTCATAACTAATGAAGCTCTCAGCTTAAACCCCAAGTCTTCAGCCTACATGAAACTCTAAACCTAAATTCTACTATTTGCTTAAGAAACACCAAAAAAATAAAAACAATAATCCCTATATTACCCCCATAAGGAGAATATATATATATATATATATATATATATATTGTTATTTTTTTACTTTGTGGGGTTCTTAAGCAAATAGTATAAACTTTAAGCCCGAAATGAAAACCCCTGAGCCAGCCTCCAGCGGAAGGCCTTCGAGCTCTGCCGGCGCGTCCTTCCAAGTGGGTAGCTGTCAAAATTATGGTCCCTTTCTGGGTAGCGTAAATAATAGGTGCCGTATTATAATAGGGACCCAAAAAGGACCCCTATCCCTTTTTGGGTAGCGTAGATAATAGGTGCCGTATTATAATAGGGACCCAAAAAGGGCCCCTAGTTTTGACAACCACTCAAGTGCAGTCTTTCTGCTAGCGTTCAGGCGTTTAGGGGTCAAAGTCACTGCAGACGATCCGGGCCGCTTAGGGGTTTAAGGGTGTAGGGCTTTGGGCGTCAATTACGGTGGGAGCTTTCCTTCTGGCGTGTATGATGATTGGAGATTGAATCTGCGGTTGAAGGGTTTCAGAGTACCGGGGTTCAGGAATCGATGTAATATAGGGGCCTTAATAATTCGAATTGGGCTTTGGGGCCCATCATACTATAAGTACAATCAGGAACCCCCAAAATAGTGTATGTACATATCAAGGATACCCAGTAACCTAAGAATAAAAGGCCTCTCTTTTTGGTATTGGGTAACTTTATAAGGAACCTAGGACTACAAAAAGGGAATAAGGGTACTACTGAGCATGCGAGTTATTTAGGCCCCTGCACTAGCCGGCCGATTTGGCTTGACTCTGGGTCGAGCCCATCGGGGCCCTCGCAGCTCACATCAGTTCGGATGAAACTGACGTTAGACAGTGACAGTCCCAGAGCCTCCAAAACCCCTTAATTAAGGAATATACCTAAACTCATATTATGGATCCTATTATACTTTAAGGTATATTCCTTAATTAAGGGGTTTTGGAGGCTCTGGGGTCTGAACTTGTGGGGTTCTCGCGTTATATAGCAGTCTCCAAGTGCTGCATCCATGAACTAGGACTGCTTGAAAAGGGCTCAGGTTTGTCTGACATTCAAGGTGGCCAAAGCTTGAGAATGGAAAGTCGGCTCGTGATCTTGCCACCGTCGTCGATTCTAGCTAACCGTTCAGCCGCCACACAGTTCTGTGGCAGCTTGCTTTAGACATGTACCACAAGAAGCTGCATCATTCTGCTGCACACAAAACCTAAAGCCCTAAATCGTAAAGGCCCAGTGCGGGAAGCTGATGGCTTCGGGTGCACTGCTTGAAGTTTCGTGTCTGGGGTTTGGGGTTCCGGTTTAAAGTTCATGGCTTCTTTTGCTGAGTGAGTTCATGTGAATTCAAACCCGATTTGTAGTAGGTCATAGTATACAATAATATATTGTAGTATTATTCTAGTCTACGATGGTACATTATCTAGACCTAACAGTAACCTAGGGATAAAAAGGGTGCCCTTTTTGGGTTAAAGGGAGTTACAGGGGAACCCTAACCCTAAAAAAGGGAATAAGGGCCTACTCTGGGTTCTAGTTATGAGAGTATAATCAGACTGTGCTGGCTCGGGTTGTCTTTTGAACTGCGGCACACCTCTTCCTGACGAACTTTTCAGAAGTCAACATGGTGTGTCTCGGGCACAGGCGGCAAGGCAGTCCCTTCGTGCACCAGAAGACTCCAATATCACTTTATTCAGGAATATACCTTAAATCATATCAGGGATCCTACTATCATTTAAGGAATATTCCTTAATTAAGGGATATGGGAGTTTCCGAAAACAGGGGACCCTAATATAGTACCTAAATAGTAGGACCCTTATTATAAGGACCCCAAAATAAGGTACCCCTAATTTTCGGAAACTCCCATATTGGAGTCTCTGGGAACCCCACCCTAATTGCACCCTAAACCCCCAACTCCTGAGCCGACCTTTGTGGCGCCTTTTCAGTCACATGCTCGAGGCCATTGACCTAAACCCTATAGGGACACTTCTCCAAATCATAATACGGTTGATGATGCAAATCCTGCATTACCTTATATAAGGGCCCTAAAGTATGGGAATGATGGTATATTCCTTATTATGGGTAATGCAAAATTTATATCATCAACCGTAGTAATTCCTAATATAGAAACCCTACATTCTACTATAAACCCTATACATTACAAAGGCTATGAGCCCGGAATTCCAAGGGTACAAGGAGGGACCCCTAATAAGGACCCCTACATATATACTATATACCCTTAATATTATATCTATTGTATACCCATTATATAGCCCATTATAGGGTAGGGGTCCCCATTAAGGGTCCCTCCTTTTCCCCGAAACCCTCTAAACCCCCTAAACCCCCAAACCCCTAAACCCTATATCCTTATAGAATCCCTATAGATCCCTTTAAAGGGACCCATTAAGGGTCCCTCCTCTTCCCCTTTGAGGAAAGCCAGTGCAGGGCATCCTCCAGGGGATCCAGCTCTATCCAGAGTGATTTCTCACTCCTCACGTTCGGCGCCTGCAAATCTGCGCGTGCTTTCCGTGATTTAAGGCTTTTGGGGTTTAGGGTTTAAGGGTTTAGGGTTTAAGGGTTTAAAGGTTTTAGGGTTTAAGGGTTTAAAGGTTTTAGGGTTTAAGGGTTTAGGGTTTAAGGGTTTAGGGTTTAAGGGTTTAGGGTCAGTTCGCTGGGGCGTCGGGGAGTACTGGTTGCAACATGCCGGGCGTAAGGTTTTGCAGTTGTGTTCGGCCTGTGGCTATCCACCTGCCAGACAGCTGTAAACATGACTGCGCCAAAAGGCGATGTTGGATTTCCAATACCTGGACCCCAAGTATGTAGAATAATAGCCTTTTATAGGTTTTGGGCCACTATTTTACCTACTTTGGGGGGTCTAGGTAGGGTTACATTTTGCACCTTTGATGTGATTTGATACCTGCTGCGTGCAAGGGAAGAGTATTGAGTGAGTGCGTGTCCTGATACCTGGCAAGCTAAAACTCGAATCCAAAACCCAGAAACACCGTAATCCAACACCCCTGCTGCCCCAATCAATAAGCTGAGCTGCCAAGCCCTAGTCCCGAAAGCACCTAAACCCTAAACTCCCCCTAAACCCTAAAACCGAAAGCCCCTAAACCACAAACCCTACACTGCTCAACCTGCACACCACCATCATTCCCAGCCAGCAGCTTTAATCAGGAACCCCAAAGCAAAAAGGGACAAAAGGGTAGTCCACTTTTAGAGCTTTAATCAGGAACCCTTATAAGAACCCTTAAAGGGACACTTATAATACCCTTATGAACTTTATAGCTGTGCTACCCTAAACCCGCAACCCCAAACATCCCTAAACCCCCACCAAACTCCTGGAAGTTGGGTTCCGGTTCATATATACGTGTAGTTCTCTAAATTAGGGTCCCTTTTTGGGGGTCCCAAGATAATACGGCACCCTTTTAAAAGGATCCGAGAACGGAAGATAGTTTAGAGAACTACCTTAACCGTCTAGTGTAGAGGCCCTAAGCCTGACAAGCCACGATTTGCATGTGCGTTGCGTCGTTGCTCCTTCTTTATTTTTCCGGGAGGGGCGGGGGTCTGAGTACCATAATTACTATTGCTAACCTGCAAAAATACGATTGGCGATGATCCAGGTCCCTGTTCGGCACTTTATCGGGTCTCGGGCTTCTAGCTTCTGGCCTCCGTTTCCTCTTTGATGCCCCGGAGTGCCTTGAGAAAGAGACAGGGCTTAGCCATTCACGTCTCGGGGAGTAGCTTTGAGGGTTCAGGGCTCCGGGTTGGCTTAGGAGCAAGCGGTCATATAGCTGCAAATACTTGTGGGCTGTACGGCACTGTACGCATTCGGAGTCAACCCGTTTGTTTTAGTTTTCCGTGTGCAGGGTTCCACGCTTCATGGATGTAGGGCTTGTGACTTTGGGAGTTACCCCTATCCATCTACATCTACCTGTCTACGCATCATCTGACCCTATTCCCGTCTGGACATCTACATCTATGTACTTTGTTGTGTATGTATTGAGGTGTATGTATGTAAACATATAAACAGATATGTATGTACCGACCAACCTGGTGCCTTTGTCAGAATCCATACGCGTGTAATTACATGTATTGAATACATGCAAAGCCTCGAAGTGAACATTTTCAACAGAATTACAATGGGTACGTGACAGCGAGATAGCAAGTTTTCCCGAGCCCATAAACTAATGATGAGTCGCATCTCTCTGTATGGCTCGCTTTCGTGGTGGCTCACTTTGAATAGAGGCTACCTTGAGCTCTCAACAACGCTCAAGTGCAAAACGGTGACCCGCAAGATCTAAATCAAAGGACCACAGCAGCCAGGGGTACTCCGAATTGGAATTGCTGTTGATGAACAGTTTGGGGACAGTAACCCTTCAAGACAAGTAAGTCAGTTTAGAATAACTTACTTGTCGGGTATCATGGGGAACTAAAGGTTAACCTTTTTGGTTATATAGGGATCATATAGGGACTATACTACCCAAAAAAGGCTAAAGGTTACCTAATCGACTACTCGGACAACTCGCATCTGATTCTGGGCAAGCCACGCTCTGAAGAACTCGGCCAGTGCACATTGATGGCGCATCTTCTTCCATCTGGGAGTTTCCAAGAAGGGGACCCTATTATAGTACCCTAAATGGTAGGATCCTTATTATCAGGACCCCCAAAAATCAGGCACCCCCTAATTATCGGAAACCCCCAATCTGAACAAGCGCCTCTCTCCGGGGCCCTCTACTTACCGGAGCTTCCCAACATATTGGAGGTTCATGAGGAGTGATAAGTAGGGTTATAAGTAAGGTAACTGTACTTAAAACCCATATCAGGGCCCTTATAACCCCACTTATAACTGCCCATGAACCAAGTAAGGGAAACTAATGTGGTACCCTAAATAGAGGATCCTGATCATAAGGACGCCAGAAAACGGTATCCCTCATTTTCGGAAACTTCGCACTTAACTGAGATGGCATCCCTGCAAACTGCGGCTTCACCACGAGCCCCAAGGAAAGGAACAACACTTGTCCTGCTAAACCCTACTTGGAGGTTAATGGGTACATAGTCATAAGTGGGGTTATAAGTGCCTAAGTATGGGTTATAACTTATAACTATAGTTACCTTACTTATAACCGCACGTTTAACTCCCCATTAACCTCCAAGTAAACCCTCCTTAACCATGCGTGGCCTTTGCACGGTCTCGCCAAGGGGCCTGGTCGAAGTCAGTGCAAGAGAACTGTCTTCTGTGGATCTTACAATCATATGTGCTTTGCATGGTCGCTTAATGCTAAGTCAGGTCGGGGGCCTTTGGCCTTTGTAATCAGTATTGTAATTAGTCATAATATCATGAATATCAGTCTCTCTAAAATTAGGGTCGGAGTGAAGAACTGGCATTGGATCTTGGGTGTATGTGATAGTAACAGAGGTATAATGGAAAAGGAACCCTCAGGGTGTAGCCTTATTATTGGTATAAGTGCTATTGTCAGTAGTTTACTGGTTAATTTCATTTGCTATTACTAGTAGCATTATTGCTGTTCTTGCTGTTCTAGAGAAAGTTATCTAGGGACGATGTGCAAAAAGCATCCTCAAAAAATGCTCTACAAACTGCGACCCTAGGTGTGTAACTCAAGGCTCATTCTGCAGCCTCCTTGAACCCTAAACCCCGAGTCTACGGTCGCTCCAAGATCTCGCCATCTCATATCCTAAAAGCAAGGATAGCCCGTTCACCAAGTGCATCTCTCTCCCGCTGCGTGCGAACAACAACAACAAGGTGCAACCGTACACTGGGGCCCCATTGCCTGTTTGGTTGTGGTTGTCGCCCCCCTAGTGAAAAGTACACTGGGTCCCCATGCTGGCATGTTGAAGGCACTTTGCTTTGCTGCCTTGTGCTTTTCCATGCTTTTCTGTGGAAGAGCTCTCACTTCGTTGTGACGGTGACATGTACTGTGGCTCAGCTTTGAGGCTTGAGCATGAGTCAAATCACGATTCTCAGAGTAGACTTGTAAAGATCGTCAGCTTTGAGAGATCACTTAACACGTTGCTTTCGGAGTGCGAAAAGGTTAGCTGCCGCGCCGCATGGTTCTGAACCCTTGAGCCTACCCAGAGCCCAAAGCTCTTCAGGGTATGAGCCCAAAACCGTTGATGCCGACTTCGTTGGAAGGCGAAGGGGATGGACCTGACTACGGTGCAGTTGCTGCTCCTAGTGCTGTTGGCCAGAGAGAGAGTTTGGTCAATGGCGGGGGTGTTTCAATGGTTGGCGTGCCTGCAGAGAGTGCTGTGATCAGTGAGGGACATGCTTTGGGCGAGAGAGGAGGACAGCTTGATCCTGTGGGAGTGGATGTACTTCCAGTTCCTGCAACAGCTGAATCCCTGACTCGTACCAGCGATGAGCTTCCTGTTCAGAACATGGCACAGGCTACTGCTGTAGGCCCAACGCCCACGACTACGAATGCTTATGGTCCTCTTGCCCAGCCTGCTAATCCTGCCCCTTTGCCTCCTATGGGTTCGGCAAGTACTGTGGAGCAGGTTACTCAGCAGGTCCTAGTGGGTGGCATGAGTGTCTCTCCGCCAGAGGAGCTGCCGGGAACTCCCGAAGGACGAGCTTCTCAACAAGGTGGGATGTGGCTGTTTCGATTGGGAGAGTTTGTTCAGCGAAGGGTGAACCAAGCTGGCGCGATCGTGACGCCCCTCTTGGAGAACCGGCAGAGAGCAGAGGACCCTCCACAGCCTTCTTCTTTAACTCCGCCCGGCAGTTGGACGGCGGCCTCACCAAGGCCTCGTTTGTTTTCGGCTTCGGCAGAGCAGCAGATGGCACAGTGGGTTCGTAGGGCACCTCTTCTTTATGGCTCTCCTCCTCATCAGCAGCCTCAGAGCAACTCGTCCAGAGAGTCTTTGAACCAAGAGCAGATCGTTGCAGAAGTGCAGAGACAAGTTAGGCAGCAACTACATGAACACGACGAAAGACAGCAGAAGTTGTTGACGGAGAATCAGCAGCTTCGTGAGATGGTTGGTCGGTTGCTGGGTCAAGCATCGGATTCGGGTGGTCAGGGTGGAGGTGGAACTGAAGTGACTTTGGGGCCCCAGGAGACTGCGTTCAACCGAGAAGTGGCGCAGGGTGGAACTCTTCAAGTACCAGTTCGCCAGCAAGGACGGATCCTTGAAAATCCTCCTGGACTACAACCGAGTCCCGGTGTTCCTCTACGGGGTGTTGTTGAAGGAGCGCAGATCCCTCAGCATCGGCCTCAGCACGACCAGGGAGTTCTTCGTGGCAATCCTTCTGGACAACAAGGTGTTTCAGGCGTCGCTGAAGGTGAACCGCCAGGACCGGGAGTTAGTCTCCCAAGGGAGTCCGGAGACGGCGGTGCAGCAACTGGAACAAGATCTGGAACGGAGCCACATCTGGGCGGTTCAGCTCAGGCTAGCGCTCCTGTTGGAGCGGCTCGTGACAGTTCGGCTGGCCCCTCTGTGAGCGCGGGAGATCCGATGAGTCTTCTAGTGCAGGGAATGGCCCAGCTTCAGCAAGCGTACTTGGGACGCCCCGAAGGCGATCTCAAGGGAACGGTGGATTTGCCACAAATGCCGGATGTTGGTCCGGACGCAGCGGTGGAGTTCTCGGACTGGATCTACGAAGCCGAACAGGCTATTGGGAGTTTGTCGGACCGAGCGGCCCTTTGGTTTAGTGCTTGTCTGGAAGTGGCGCGGACCACCTACGACACCTACGCAACCTCCACGCCGCTGCAGCGTCTTTCGCTGACTCCTGAGATCCCGCCGGAGCTCAAGGATCAAAAATGGTCCCGTCTCGAGAGAAAGGTCATGTCTCTCCTTCTGAACTCCATGAGGAAGACGGCGAAGGACGAAGCCATCACGCACAGGATTTCGACAGTCCCGGCTTTGTTGTATAGGATGTACGTGCTCTACCAGCCGGGAGGTTCAGCGGAAAGGACGATGATTCTCAAACACTTGGAAGGTCAAGCAGTTGGAGAAGATGTTCATGTCTGCGTTACAGCCCTACGGCGATGGAGGCGGTACTTGCAGCGAGCCGAGGACATTGGGATAGCGGTTCCGGATGCTTCGGTTCTTCTTCGAAGTGTGGAGCAGATTTCCAAGCGGGCTTTGGAAGCCCATCCAGATGTGAAGTTTCGGGTGGCCCTGACCAAGAATGAGCTTTCTCTTCACAGCCGCCCGGAGAGCGCAGCAGTGATCAGGTACTACAACACGATCCTTGCGGAGCTGCAGACGATCGCCCCAGCCAAGGCGTCGGTGACTACTACGGCTTCTGATACCACTAAGTTGAAGGCGGTGAATGCTTCTGGAATCCGTGAACAACTTGATGATTCTACCGCGAACTCCCCGAAGGGCAAGGGTCAGATCCCATGCAAATTCTTTCTCACAGATTCTGGTTGCAGCAAGGGCCATGGTTGTCAGTTCTCCCACAACTTTTCGAAGAAGGAAAAGGCTGGCAGATGCTGGACTTGTGGATCGACCCAGCACCAGCAGGCAGCTTGCACCGTGAAGAAGGGAGGAAACAGTCCCAGTGGAAGGCCTCCAAAAGGGGCCCCCAAGGGGTCGGCGGTGGCGCAGTTGGCTGCCTCTATGGCAACGGTGCCTGCGAGCTCAGGGGGTTCCTCTTCAGCGGCGTCTACTTTGTCAGTGCCCTCGACTTCGGTGTCTGCGGTTGGTCAAGAGCCGCCTGTTAAGGAAGAGCCGACCATGCCAGCAATTCCAGAAGCTGAGGTGCGACAACTTTTGATGGAGGCGAATGCGATGCTCAAGGAGATGAGGCAGTTGAAGATGATGGCTCTGTCTTCTACGCGAGTGGAGAACGAAGCGGTCTCCCATGGGTGTGGTCCTATGACGGGGCGATCGGGCCTCTTGGACTCTGGAGCGAGCCATCCATTTAGAATGGCGTCAGAAGAGGAAGTTCAAGTTGCGGACCGAGTGAATGTTCAGTTGGCCAATGGCTCCGAGATTACTTTGGCGCAGAACGCTGCAGGCACGCTCCTCAAGACGACTTCGACCGAGGAGGCGCATGTTGCACCCATAGTCCCCCTCGGCTCTTTGGTTCAGGACTTAGGGTGTGATCTTCAATGGACGCGTCGGAAGGGCTTGGAGATTCGTCATCCGCAACATGGGATCATACGTCCTCAGGTGGTGGGAAAGTGCCCGCTTGTTGGTGAAGCTTGTGCTTTGGAGTTGATCCACGAGCTAGAGGAGCTCAAGGTCCAGTCTCTTCGGGATTCCACGAATAACACCCAAAAGAGATTGTGGATGTGGGATCAGGACAAGGAGTGGGCGTCTCATTTGGAGGAGTTCTTGATGACTGGCACTCGTGCATCTCAGCTCCTTGCGCTGACGGCTCGGGACTCACCTTTCATGGGGCTTTCGGATGTGGAGAGGAGTGCCTTATGCGAGCAAGTTGACTTGTCCGACAGCGCTGGCTGGAACTACCTGAAGGCGATTCCCTGTTCGAGGACAAGGCGGAAGAGGCTGATGAACACACCGTGGATAGTTCACTTGTATGCGGGTTCTGGCAAAGGCGTGGACCCGGTGTTCAGGACCCTTGAAGACTCTAGAGTGCTGGTAGAGATTGACATCGCGAAATCTATGGCCTATGACATGTTCAAGGTCTCTGGTGTGTATCGGGCTTTGTTATGGGCGGCGGCTACAGGAAGGGTGGATGGCATCATTGGTGCCCCTCCTTGCCGGAGCGAGGGTGACTCTCAACTGTTGCTGAAGCAGCTGTGGTTAGTTGCTGTTGCCAAGGCTGCCCGAGCTCACCGTCCTGGAGCACCAGTCTTTGCAATGATCGAGGGCGTTCGTTTGCTCAACGCTTTGCGCTCTAAGGACTTCGTTCGTTGGCCTACGGTGAGATCAGTTTGGAAGGGCGTCCTAGAACAGTTGTGTTTGGAAGAAACCGGGACCTCTTTGGTGACGAACATGGTTTTTCCGGCCGTCTTGCCTGAGCTTCCGAGTTCTTCTGTGTGGACCGAGGAGTTCAAGAGGACTGTGCTTTCTGCGGTGGAAGCTTGGAAATGGAGTCCGGAAGGTCTACAAGTTGAACGGTGGATGAAGCGCCTCGACGCCGATCCGAAGAAGTTTTTGGAGGGCTTCACCAACGAGGAGCTGCAGCGATGGAAAAGTCACGTGCTCAACAACCACATTCCGTTCAATCGCAAATGCAAGACCTGCGTGATGAGCAAGGCTACAGGGCGA